AACCATGATACCACCGTCGGCTGCACCAGTTCCGGTAGCGCCAAGGACCAGCCTTGGCTTGGCACCAGGAACTGGGCAAGACCAAAAAGATGACTGATATTTCTTGCTATTAGTTATACTATAGATAAATCTCTGTCGAGAGCACTTGATGAAGTTTGTCAAAGATTTATATACAGGATCACATGACAGCTTAATGAAAATATATTCATAAGTTAATGAAGACATATTCATAAGTTAATGAAGACATATTCATAAGTTAATGAAGATATATTATTACGTAAATGACAAGGTTCTTAAAATAACGACTTTCACATATATTCTCTACAATCTGAACAATCCAAGTTCTTCAAACTTTGATTGAAAACTTACCTAATTCTTTTCAGTTTTATGAAATTCAAATGATAAAATTCAAACTAAAAGTTATTAAAATGCATTGGTTACTACACTTTGAGTAGAATTTTTTTAAATCAAGCTAAAAATTAAATGGAATAAAAACAATATACTTTGAAAACGTAATTTCAAGTACAACTTTTATTGAATATATTTTTATTAAATCGAATGAATGGTGAAACGATTATCCATGATACAAACATGAAAATGTCAACAAACTGACGAAAAAATTGAATAATTGTAATTTTCTAGTCATGATGGTAAACCATGGGTGATGCAGAATGTCCAATCTTCATACAAATTGTGCGTATTCTTGTGATGAACACAGTCTCTTTCATCTTCTGTCCTTGGCATCTCCAAGAGTCAAAGAGTAAAGATTCCAAGAGTCTGAGTTTGTCCAATAAAATTGAGGCCCATTGGGCATCACTGGTTGTCTTTCTTACAGATGTTAGAGGAAAATTTAACAAAACAGTCACCTTCATCCATCCTTGCCTCTTTCTCAGCCCCATCAGCCAATAGTTAACATTGCCTTACTTATACAAATTAGAGATTTGATGGTTCCTACAAGCATAAGGGTTTTCATATAGGGTTATTTGTTCAACCTGTTTGTCTGTATCATTGGGTGGTTTTATCTGTTTGAACCATTCCTGCTGTCACAGAGTGGGTGAGGTTAGTTTTATGCTGCTGTTACCAATATTCCAGCAATATCATGGCAGGGGACACCAGAAATCGGCTTCACATGTTGTACCCAAGTGGAGACTTGAACCCATGCCTTAGGCATGATGAGCGAACACCTATTAACCAATAGGCTTCTCTGATGTCCCTGAAAGTGATATTGCTGGAATATTGCTAACAGCAGAGTGAAACTCACTCATTTTGTTTTAAGGATTTTTACTGTCTCCCAGTAGTTGTTGTCAGTGTTTATTTCTTAAAATACGTACACAAAAATAATTTCTTGTGTTACTGTGAAGAAATACACCATATACACAGTTCAGCCAATCAATAATGTTTGATGGGAATGATATTCCACAACAGTTAATGTCCACAGATTTAAAAATGAAAAGAAAATGTGTCAATTGCTACATTAATGAAATGTGTTCAGGAAAATCTATTAATTGAAAAAGGCCTTAATTGAAAAAAGCCTTAAGTCCTATCTGTCTTTCATTCCCTACACATGTATCTGAAAAGCCAGAGCCTCATTCCACAAAGTGATCTTAGCAATAAGGTGTCCCTTACTGTCATGCTTCAACATGTGCTTAGGAAAGCCTTAGTACTAAAATCTTAGCGATAAGGTGGTCCTAGCTCCCATGCTTGACATGAAAGCTGTTTAAAAGCCTTAGCACAAAGATCACTTTGAGATTGAGACCTGGGTCAGTATGTCTTGACCATATCAGCTGGATCAAGGTCAGTTTGTCAGTCAATCAAGTGTAAATTTACATGTCTGGTGGCAACAGCTGAATACAGTTTACATTTGTCAAACACCAGCTTTAGTAACATTGTGCAAAGGTCACTTTAACATAATTACTTGGTGCATGAGTACCTAATTACATTTTCAAGATTTCCAGGGTAGATTTTGTAAACAGTCTAAGGGGAGACAATCAGGAAATGTTATTTCAGAAAGGTGTGCAAAACTTAAGGAGTTTGATAATGAAAAATATGATCGCTAATTGGATATGTGTCTTCAGGAAATTGACTTTATGACATCCTTGACAACAGTTTGTATATTTCTAGTTGGGCTTCCTGTGTCTTGGCCAAGAAAAGAGGCTACCATCCCACTCTTGGTACACACAATTGTGGATCTATTTAGATGGTATTCCTGAATAAGAAAAGTGCCAATAAAATTTGTATTTGATACCAGAATGAAAATTTCATATATATTTCATTTTTGCAATATATTATTTCTTTAAATTGCACCCTTTTATATTTCTTTTTGAGATCTTTGTTAAATAGAGTTACTGGTATTAGGATTCGCAGTGAGACTTTAAAGATTTATTCAGGAGGGGTGGTTGGCACCCTCAAAAGTCAATGAAACAGGAAATTAAATTTTTTGTGTTGGGTTAGAGCAAAACATAAGCAATCTTTAAATGTGTTTAGAGAAGATCCTTCTCTCATGCCTGCACCTTCTGAGTTTAAATTTCCAAAAGGAAGCCATTATTCCCTGACCGACTGAATGATCTAAACACTGGAGTCAAATATTTGCATGGCAATCAGCTGTGGATGTAAATGTTTTGTTAAAGTTCCTATTAGCACAGGAAATGTCACCTAAACTCATCCAGTTCATTTTGTATCCTGATAGAGGTCAACAGTTCCTTGCCAAACATCATTATCAAACACAGAAACAACAAAGGGGGACAACTCAGATATCCAGGAGAGGTAACTCTGTTCAACCAATTTCATTGCGTAAAAGATGACACATCTAGTCCATGTCAATCACATTTTGAGATCAGTTCTGTTTTATCTTCATTAGCAAAATCTTTGATTGATTTTGCTTCTGTACTGCATTCCTTATGATGTTGATGTTACCATGGTGATTGTATGCAAATAGAACAAGGATACAAAATCATTTTTTCACTCAAAATTGGTAAAAAGCAGTCACACATACATCTTATTACACAATATTATTCAACAAATCAGAGAGCATTTGTGGTATACATACACCTCACCAGTGTTGTCATCAAAAGGCTTCATCAGTATCTTCATCAACAGTTTCATCAACACAAACAGCATCACATATCCTGAAAGATTCACCAAGATGATTCTCAGTGTTGGTGTACGACAAATATGCTGAAAACAAAAGCGTTTGTGTCAGCACATTCCTACAATCCACTTGTCCATAGATGGTTGTAACCTTGACCTCTGATGTGTGTGTGTGAGTTGTTCCAGTTTCGCAGAAAGATGTCAGTGATAGCTAATATATACACTGGGGGCATCGAGAAGCTTGCATAGTTTACATTGATTACGATGGTACCAGTATTTTTACCCAAATACTCATATCTTGGGGCAAGGGCCAGCACTTAGCTGAAGGTGAAGGTCCTCTGGTTTGGTAAAAGTAAAGGTCATCAGTTTAGCTGAAGATGAAGGTCATAAGTTCAGCTGACGGTGAAGGTCATTAGTTCAGCTGAAGATAAATGTCAATTATTTAGCCGAAGGTAAAGGTCATCAGTTCAGCTGAAGGTGAAGGTCATAAGTTCAGCTGACGGTGAAGGTCATTAGTTAAACTGAAGATGAATGTCAATTATTCAGCTGAAGGTAAAGGTCATCAGTTTAGCTGGAGGTGAAGGTCATCTTATGGGAGTCATGTATCCTGATAGAGGTCAACAAATGGTCTTACGGTAGCAGTGCAATCAGTGTCAATACATGATATATTTTTGGCTGAAGTTTTTACTCTTTTGGAGACTGAGTTTTGAAACAACTTCTCTATGTGGTCAGGGAATGTTTTATAAAGCTCAAATTTGCATCAGTTGGAATCAATTTCCACAGGTAAAATGTTAGTTTAAGACAGAATATGTCCACGTCTCCTGGAAACAAAAAAAGGTGCATTTAACAAGTGCCCTTTTTATCATAAACCAGAAAGTATTATCTTAAATTGTCCAAAAGAACCACTCAGAATTTGCCGCAAACTTTGACTGTCAAGACATCCAGATAGACATGTCATTTAAGCTTATTTAAGCTGTGTAAGGTCTGTGAACTGTGGGGGTCCTTTGGAGAAGGTCAAAACACATTGTCTGCATGTGTGTTTTTGGAAAAAAGGTGTGCATGAGAAAAAATTGGTACTATCAATGATGTTCAGTGCTAATAATCTATATTGTGGAAACAGTAAGTCATAAAGCTGTTTTCTTTGGTGTAAGTGTCTTTAGATGTTGACAATTTCCCCTTTTTGTAATAACACCCCATAAAAGGATGTCATCTCAATATTGTCTTGTCAAATCCTGAGAGGGTAAGTATTTCACTTGTATCATAGTGCCACCCATATTGTTGAAACCCATGGGTATGGATTTTGTACTGACAAACCCCCAGATTAATATTCATATGAATCTGTAAATATGAAGTCATGATTTTTGGGCTTGCCCAGCTTAGACTTCGCTTAGTCCCTGAATATATATAATTTGGATAGTAACAAATAAACACATTTAAATTGAAAAGGAGCCTAAGTGAGTGGGGGAAATGTAGACTAGTTCTATTTAGGGTGAGAGAGTGAGTGAGTTTAATTTATGCCGCTCTTTGCAATATTCCAGCAATATCATGGCAGGGGACACCAGAAAAGACCACATTGTACCCATGTTTGGAATTGAACCCAGGTCTTTGGCTTGATGAGCAAATGTTTTAATTATTAATCTACCCAACTGCAACTGTTTCATTTAGGGCTTTAGCATAGCAGGAGGGCTAGGCAGTATTGAAAATAATGTGTTTCATGGACTATGAGACAGACTATGCCTAGCTCTGCATAGCAAATGGCAGTGTCTCAGAAAACATGCCCTCAAATTGTCCAAACCTGGAGGACTGTAACTGCGTTTTTTATATTTTTCAAAGATGAGCCCCTTACTTTCTGTGGCCATATTTTGAAAACTGAATATAAAAAGCGTAGTGATATATGATAAATATGCTACTGGTATTAAACATTCCAAATTTTATTTTGAGAGTTTCCATTAAAATAGTGTTTACGACAGATCCTACTTTCTACTGGGCACAGACTGTAGAAACATTTGGCAGAACACACTGACCCCAGATAATTAGATTCCTTAGGCAAGAACATTCAAGGACATCCTAGAGCTCATCCTGCACAAAAGATGTCTGTTATCCTTTGAACAATGAATGACACAGAACACTGACTTTTTTCAGGATTACAATCACTGGCACACTGTGAACCACCCTGACACTGTCTGAACACAAGATTTACAATCACTGCACACTGTGATTGAACTTGACACTCTCTGAACCTCACATCTGAATCACTGATGTATTGATGTTCTTCTGTAATGGCCTTCAAAACCTGCTGTCTTCTGGTCAGCTATGGTGGACAAAAGTGCATGTTCACACATTCTGCTGCTCAGGATCAGTAAACTGTAGCAATGGTGGTTTTGCGACATCTTTAATCCACAGAAAAATACTTCATCCTGTCATGCTTAATCAGTGATGGAATAGATGACACCATTGTCTTTCCTCTAAGCCAGTAATAGTAGATGTTTGGTTTTCCTGTAAACCAAAAGTAGATGTCTGGTAATCCTTGGAAGAATATACCTTTGTTATTCACTACCAAACCACCAGTGCCAGATATTTCATGTTCCAGTAAATTGGCAATGATAGATGTTTAGTCTTCCATCGTGGAATACACCATTGTTTTTCGATCTGGTACCACAAAACCAGCAATGATAGAATTTTAGTATTCCATGTTAGAATACACCATTGTTTTTCGATCTGGTACCACAAAACCAGCAATGATAGATGTTTAGTATTCCATGGTGGAATACACCATTGTTTTTCGATCTTTGTACCACCAAACCAGCAATGTTAGATGTTTAGTATTCCATGGTGGAATACACCATTGTTTTTCGATCTTGGTACCACCAAACCAGCAATGATAGATGTTTCGTATTCCATCGAAGAATACACCATTGTTTTCAATTTTCACAGGTACCATCACACCAGTGATGATAGTTGTTTAGAATTCCATGGTAAAATACACCATTGTTTTTTGATCTGGAACCACCAAACCAGCAATGATAGATGTTTAGTATTCCATCGTAGAATACACCAGTGTTTTTTTATTTTTGCACCACCAAACCAGCAATGATAGATGTTTAGTATTCCATGGTGGAATACACCATTGTTTTTCGATCTTGGTACCACCAAACCATCAATGATAGATGTTTAGTATACCATTGGAGAATACACCATTGTTTTTCGATCTTGGCACCACCAAACCATCAATGATAGATGTTTAGTTTTGCATGGTGGAATACACCATTACTTTTAGATCTTGGCACCACCAAACCAGCAATGATAGATGCTTAGTATTCCATTGGAGAATACACCATTTATCCCATCTTAGTACAACCAAACCAGCAATGGTAGATGTTTAGTTTTCCATTGTAGAATACACCATTTATCCCATCTTAGTACAACCAAATCAGCAAAAATGGCTGGTTACTATTCTTTTGGGGAATACACCAAAGCTAATCCCTATTACACAAAACCATCTTAAGTTAACATACATTGTCCAATTCCTTTCTTGACCATTATTTCATCTATTGTCCAAAGAGACACATTTCTTGAAGTGGAATCTTTCTTGGAAAAGAATGCTTCTTGTGGGTTAACTTTGGTATTCTGATAGAATAAGAAAAACCCATGCAAGTGTAAACTGTCCTATTCCAAATGTTGGTTAACCTGATATTCCTTTTGAACACAAAGCCCACATGTGGGTTAACCATCCTATTCCACTCATGGGCTAACCATGGTTACCCGATTGAATACAAAACCCACTGATGGGATAAAAATGGTACCGTAATTGAATACAAGACCCAATTATGGGCTAACCATGAAGACCAAATTGAATACAAAACCCACATATGGGTTAACCATGGTGCCCTAACTGAATACAAAACCCATCTATGGGTTGTTAACCCTGATATCTGCCATTACACTGCGACTGAACAATAGGCCCACTTGTGGCTTAACCATGGTAACCAATTTGGGAGGACTGGTTGAATTTTCAGAGCTGAGAGGGCTCACAGAAGTCTAACATTGAACCTCCATGGAGTGGCCCGTGTCTGGCAGACCTTTCTCATTCCTTGTCATGGAGGAAGACTGACTTCTGCTCTGGCGATCCAATTCATCTTGCTCTTGGTCATACCTGTCCTGTTCATACCTGTCCTGTTCATATCTGTCCTCTTCATATCGGTTTTGTCCAAACTTACTGTCATATCTTTCCTGTTCATACCTACAGTGCCTACACTGAATTCTTCCTCCATGGTAGAAGAACGATCCATTGATGAATTTCTATCCATGGGCGCCCTGTGATCTATGGCTAGTTGATGGTCCATGGACAGATTTTGATGATCCATCGTTGGTTCCATGTTGGAGGAATTGGGGCGCGAGCGCTGTCGGTGTTGAGCCATGAGACTGGCTATGTGTTCTCGGTTATACCGCTGGTAATGATCACAGTAGACAAATCGCGACAGAAGGTTCAGTTTGCGGTCAAAAAGAATATACAGGATTGGTTCAAGCGTCCCTTGGGACCAAGCGATAAAGCTGAATGTTTGGTAAACTTTTGGTGAAACTTTGTATGTAAAGTCTATAAGAATGAGGCAGAAGAACGGATACCAACACACTACGAACATTATGGCTGTCATGACAAATATCTTAGCTCTGTGAGAAGACTCTTCTATCAGTTCGCGAACACTGCTTGCTGTCTGTTTTGGCTGATCCATGATTGTGATTGAAGTCCTCACTAGCATTGAAACTCGGTTTGGTTGATTCAGTTGAATTTCTTTATAGAATTTGCACAGAAAATGAGTAGCACAAACAAGAGCTAATGAAATGATTAGAATCATCATCACATAGGCAATATATCCCGACGCCTTTCCTATCTTGAAAGTACAAATACCGATTCTATCGTTAAACTCTATGTTTCCACCAATCAGAGTTGGCCCAAGGTGAAGAATAGTACTAGTGATATACACAGTTAGAATGCCGAACAGCACACAACAGAGAGTACCCTGGGCCGTCCCTCCAATGTTTGTTTCGCCAAACGTGTACGCCTCGGTACAAATCATCGCAACAAGATTGAATGCCGATGCTGTGTTGACAACAATGTACGCAGACCCTTGTAATGCACATGATGTGGGCTCTTCGACTGATAGTAAATTACTTCCAAATGGAATGCAAAACATGGCCTTCACGAAGTTCAAGAAGCAGCAATGGATCAGGAACGCGCTAGTCATTTTGCGTAATGTCCTCCTCACAACTATACAGATGATGACGGTGAGGTTCAGCAGCATCCCAAGGATGCCTACGAAATAAAGATAGTAGGCTTCCTGGTGTTTGTTAGGACCGCCTGGCATGATGGCTTCCGTGGACGACTTGACACTGGCTTCTGAGAGGGTGGGGACAACATACTCCCCACTGTTACGAGCAACGATGGAGTCTGGGAGGGAGTGAACTGATACGTTGACGATCATCATCATGGAAGGTCACGACGTACAACACCTGGAGGGTCATCCTGACTCATACACCTGAAACACAAATGAATTGCATCAGCGTAATATTAGAATTTACGGTGTAAACTTGTGTGCTTTATTATTCGGGGACATGTTCTTTATTTATTGGTGTTATGAGGTGTTTGTATGTTTCACTTCTTTCTTTGCTTGTTGTTTTACGCCGCACTCAGCTACATTCCAGCGATATGGCAGCAGTCTGTAAATAATCGAGTCTGGACCAGACAATCCAGTGGTCAACATCATGAGCATCAATCTCATAATGGGATCCCATGACATGTGTTAACCAAGTCAGCAAGAGATCTACTTAGTATGGGTTGCTGAAGATTAATTTTAACCCATGTCTTCACGGGTTCCTATAATTTCTAATGAACAATGTTAACCAAAGGTTTCAATTTGAAAGTTTGTCAATAAAATGTTCAATAATGAAAGGGACAGAAGCACTTGGCATATTCATAAAGAATGTGCTGAAAGCAGAGTTAGTTGTACAATTCTGACTTCATTGTCAGCATGTGTTTATAAATCACTGTTTAATGCCATGGGGTTGTGGAAAAATGAGTGTGTACTTACAGAAAGCACTATCATGAACACAAACTTTCACGTATAGCCCTATATTACTGGTTGATGCAATTGTGAATATAAAGCACTACCATTGCCATTTACCACAATCCTGATTCTTATAGCCCTGCTTCAATTCTCTAACTCTCTCATATACTACATTAAAATGTCTACATTAGGATGCCAGGACTTATTTTAAACCTCAAAACAAGGTGACCTCAAATCACCAATCTATCACACGTTGGTGACCTCTTGCAGCCCTCATGTTGATAATTTAGGTTTATTGATCCCAAGCAAGTTACCTTAATCACAGCTGACATTGTCGATACAATCAAAGATGGCAACCTCATCTTACCCATCTTTTTCCATTTACTAAATGATTTTTATTTGTAAGAAATCTATTTCCAACCCTGACGGGACTTCTGAATAGAAGAGGGATTACAACCAAATTCTGAAAGAAATGCTCACAGCTCTTTATCAATGCCAGTTTGTCTGTTGGAAAATAGCCTCTTTAACATGAGTGATCTGCACAATCATGCCATGGTTTTGAAGAAAGTTTACTTAAGAATGAAAAAAGGAAACAAAACGTCAAGTTTGTCCGCTTCAAATATGACAGGGAGATGATGGTTTAAGACAGGGCTGTTACTTGTTACCCTACCTGTTCTAGTGCAGTTTAACCTTGTAAGGTTCAATCAGACTGTTTAAGTATGTATGCTATACTCAGTAACTGTCTGGAATTTTTTTATAGTGTGGTAGGGCCTGGGATTGGGGGTTTTCAGTGGGTATGGTCTCAGGACCATATATATAAATATTTTATATTTAAAATAATCTAAAAAATATTGGTTATGAATTTACATTTACAGAACCCTAAATTTTGATATCCTAACATTGTAATGGGCAATTATGATAAGCTGTTTAAACATGTTTTCATATCTTAAAGAAAATGTGTTTATATTGATATTTTGTTTACTTAATAAGTAACATTTTTCCCCTACCCCACCCCTTTTACCTGTATTAATTGACCAACCCATTAATGCACTTCAAATTTATGAAAACATCATTTGAAAACTTGACAGTGTCATTTTTTCTGACAGAAATATATATTTGGATTATCATTATGCTTCAATTTCTCATTTTAGTGATGAATTGTGCTGGCTTTTCACGAAAAGAAACTAAAGAAATATTTTCAATGAATTTACATTAACAGAGCCAGAGATTTTTGAAATCCTGGCATTGTAAAAGGCCTCATTATTATAGGTTGTTTAACCATGATATGACATCAGCAAATAAAAGCTACAAAACCCTTTCCACGTTCATAAAAAGTTGATTGTACAATTGTGGCTATATCATGAGCATATGTTTGTTTTAGCAGTATTACAGCTGTACGATGTGTGTAAACAAATCGAATCTGTACCAGACAATCCAGTGATTTTCAAACCAATGTATTTAAATTCTCATGATTTCAAATTTCCATACTGTCGTTATTGAGAGAACAGATATGCAAATTGTTCTCTGTTACACCGAAATGGTTAAAACAACAACATTGTGTTCAGCGAACCTTGCAAGGATGCAGCCATGCTGCTGGCTGTTATGTATTGATCGACAAATGTCAAGCAGGACAGATCTTTTTTACCATCTTCACTTAATTCTGAGTGTTATTCCAAAAGCATTTCATACATGGATTAACACTGTGAAAAATATTAATTTTGAAAATCAGATTTTTAATAAATTATTCGAACCCCATATCACTTGACTGAAGTTTCATATTTTAGCAGAATGTACTTGAATATTGCTGAGTTTGATCTGCCAATGCGTTCACTGTTTCGCAATATTACTTTCAATACAATAGGAGGAAAATGACATTTGAATGTAATGTTAAATAATTGGCAATTTTTTATGATTACAGTGGAAGAAATCAATTTCTGCTGCATGTTTTAAACTTTACTTTTTCACCTTAGAGAAGGGGCAGTGGGGGTAGCCTAGTGGTTAAAGCATTCACACGTTCAATTCCCCACATGGGTACAAAGTCTGGAGCCCATTTTTGCTGTGATATTACTGGAATATTAATTGCTAAAAGTGGTGTAAAAAACAACTCACCACCCACCCATCTTAAAGAGGTCATTTCTAAAAGACTGAATGAATAAATGAATATGGATCCATACTGTACTATTTCATTATTATTTAATGTTACTGAATATATTTCAAACTAAACTTCATTAAATGACCACTTAATCCATTGACATAGTCCTGTTTTATGAGGTTGTGAGTTAGATGGATATAAATCCTCTCTGAACACTATTCCAGTTATATCCCAGTGCATCAGCTTAATATGGAAGCTTGGCTCAAACTGATGCAGTTCCCAGATGTTTACAACTGATGAAGAGATGGAGAGGGTAGTACACTGGTTAAAGTGTTGACTTGTCATGCCCTGGGTTTGATTCCCCACATGGGTACAATATGTCAAACATTTTCTGATGTACCCACCTTGATATTGATGGAATATTGCGAAAGGAAGCATTACTTACTCAACTTTAAGGCGCGGTCACATCTTACGATCATGAATGTTGTCCTACTGGGCCCAGATTTTCGAAGCTCTCTTAGCGCTAAGATAGTCGTAAGTTCCATACATTAACATTAACTTATGACTATCTTAGCGCTAAGAGAGCTTCGAAAATCTAGGCCCTGGACTTTAGTGATTAACGTAGTAAACTGTAGTTTGATCGTAGTGCCATGTTATCATGGTGTACTACGGTCAATACAACGGCGCAGTAAGGTCAATTACGGTATACTAGGGGAGAACTATGATCAACCATGTTCAAACTACTGTACCAGTAGGGTCTTGGCATTCAAGCTTACCGTAGAGATATTTTGAACATGTTGAAAATTGTCCGGTCTAACCATGGGTTTGCTAAAGTCATAACTACACTTAACTACGTTTAACCAATGTCAAATACGGGTCTACTACGGTCTACGAAGATCATCCCCCACTACGGTCAACTACTTACATGTCCGGAAGATGTGACCACCGCTTTAGTGAAATCTCAAGCACAGGTAAAACCAAAATCCAGTCGAACCTGGATTTGAACCCCAGATTTCTGGCATACACATTGGATGCAAATTGATGCACCCTTGACCTCTGGGCCACCCATGCCTGCTCTGTTTATGGGAACTGGTCATCAAAAACATCACCTTTCTCAAATGATGTCAAAAAGACCAAAAACTGGGAATGAATACACAAAAAGACTGGAACCCTGTGTGACCGACTTTAGTTAATATTTCCCGATGAGCATGTCAGTGTTGTACATATGACACAAACTGAAGACATATCTGGTAATTTATAAAAATAATATATATAATATTAATATAATTTAAACATACCCAAGACAGGAAATGAATTCTCAAAACACTACGGAATTCCAGTATGACCAGATTTAGATAATATTTCCTCATGAGCTTGTCAGTTTCGTACAGATGACACAGATTGCAGATATATCTGGAAATGTACTTGTTATCCATTCTTCATATGTCATCTTACTGATCAGCAATAGCTGTAAAGATCAAAGGCAGAGAGAGAAATGGATGGCTGTTCTCTGAGAGAGGTCAGTCAGCTGATCAGCATAGAAATGACTTCTTCAGAATATGTGCTTGGTGGGTACGCCATTTCCGACCATGCCAAAGGGAGTGCTGTTAAAGTGCTGTTAACATGATTCCTTGGGCTTTGTTTTCATTTTTTTTAAATAAAAGAAATTTTCTTCAGCTTCAAATTTATTTCCAATGTACATTTTTAAGAATGTTTTTAAGATGAGGGGCATAGCCTAGTGGTCAAAGTGCTCTTGACATGATTCCTTGGGCTTTGTTTGCAATTTTTTTAAACCAAAGAAATTGGTTACAACTGTGAATTTATTTCCAGTGTACATTTTTCAGAATCTTTTTTCTCAAGGAGTGGAATAGCCTAGTGGTTAAAGTGCTGTATAACAGGATTACTTGGGCTCTATTTTCACTATTTTTGAAAATGGGAGAAATCTTCTACAGCTGTAAAATTATTTCCAATGTACATATTTTAAAGAATTTATTATTAAGAGGAGTTGAATAACCTATTGGTAAAAGTGCTGTATAACATTATTCTTATGGCGTTGATTTTATTTAAAAGACAATATAAAGTAATTGTCTACAGTTGTAAATATATTTCCATTGTACAAATTCCAAAGAATACCCTTAAGAGGAGTGGGATAGCTTAGTGGTTAAAATGCTGTATTACATTAATCCTATCCCTATGGCTTTGTTTTCAAACAATATAAAGTAATTATCTACAGTTGTCAATATATTTTCAATGTACATATTATAAAGAATCGTTTTAAGAGGAGTAGAAAAGCCTAATGGTGAAAGTATTCGCTCATCACCAAGGATCCTTGTTCATATCCCTATATATATATATATATACAACATGTCAAGTCTCCCTA